CCCCCCCCCAAAAAAAAAAGATATTTACACCTCACAGGATCGTTGTGTAATTCGTATCATTTTTTCATGGCATATTTAAAACATAAAAGCTCCACAGAACAGTAATTAACTTCTTTTTTAAAACCTGAAGAAAAGGAAGAAAAGAAAACTCACCTCTCGCTGGGCAATAGTGTTATTCGGTTCAATTTCCATGGCATGCCTATAGCTTCGCAATGCTGCCACAGGACTTCCTAATGCCAAGTGACATTTGCCTTCTCTGAGGTATCCCTGAAAAGAAGAGGTCCATTTTCTTAGTACACAATCGATAATCTAATCTGAAAAATAACAACATGGAGATCCACCAAAGAAATTAAAGATACAATAATCTAAGAGAACAAAGAGGTCATTTTTTTTACAAATACATTTGACACGTTACAAAATACATTGTACAACTGATCACTAGAGAAATGTTAATTTAATAATAAAGCAGAATCACCAGTGCAAGACTCTAAAGTACTCCAAATCCTCAGAAGTATATTTCTGACCAAAGCTTACGAAAATTACACCCCAGTGCAGGCAAATGTTTTGCCTTTTGCCTTTCCCGCAGCGTGCTTTGCACACTGCCAGCTTATCCTACTCAGCAAATGAACATATACCAACTGTTTCAAAAAATAAAATGATGCTTGAAATAGAGATGTGTAAAAATTTAAGCAATTTTCACATACAGTGAGCGCTTTACTGGAAGAGTGCAGAGAACCTTGAGTTACCTTAACAAATCCTGTGTCAAGTTGGATGGCATACTGGGCATCTGCAAGACCTTCTTTGAACTTATTCAGCATAATGTATGTGGCTGATCTGTTGCCATAGAATGCTGCACATGTTGGACAAATTGCTGCAACACAAAAGTATAATACGTCAAAGAGGATTCTACCATATTTATAATGACTTGTTGCACAACTGCATTCAACAATGAATAATTATCATACAATTAAATGCTTTCTAACATCAAAGTTACTAAAGTAAATTGTATTCACAAAATGGACTTCATGTACCTCTTCCTAGTTTATATGTGTCTCTTTATTCTTCAACCGCTGCGCCTATAAACAGAAAGGTAAAAGTATACTGAGAACCCGTATTATCAGTTTAACTTTTTAATAATTAAAACTTGTATATTATGACATCTTAAACCCCAACCCCCCCCCCAAAAAAAAAGAAGAAAAACACAAAAAACAAACAAACCCAACAACAACAGCAAAGAATATCTGTCGCATTTCCTTTTTGCAAATGGACGTTATTGTATCAATGTGCTTCTTTTTTCCCAAACCCAAACTGGAACACTTTCCCTTTGAACTGGAATACTGTCCTTCTGCACCGACTTTCCTTTTATATTGGAGTTCTGTCCTTCTGTACCAGATTCTTCCCCTCAGTACCTTGTCCTACAGGGAGCACCGAGAGAAATGACCTTCAGAATTGCCTACATCGTGTCTATTGAGGCTTTCAACTTCCAGGAAAACGGGAATCGGAGGCAATTATCGTTTTTCATACGTGTCGTACACTTAACCGCTTGAATGACAATGACTCTCTGATCGATACTCCAACTCTTAGCGGTGGGTGGTTGGCGGGTGCTCTCGTGTGGTTTGCTCCTTCTTTCTCATCGAACATCTATCTTCCTTATCTCTCCTTCTTTTTTATGTTTGTTACTCTCTTGTAACACCTCTAATCTTCGGCACTTATATGATCTTATTGTGTTACCAGTGCCGTAAAAACTTACTAAAACTAAACTCTTAGCTGATTTGGAACTGGAAAGGAGATCTTGTAGGGTCCTATAGTGCTGGACAGATGTATTGATAATCATACAAGAGAGGAAAAAAAACAACCAATAAAAAAAACTTTCTTCTCTTTCACGTTGTCTCTCAGTTAAGGGTTTTTGGGTTTTTATTTTTTTGGTTTGCTTGTCTCCCGCCAAGGTTTCTTTCTGTTGTTTCTTTCTTTATGCTTTCTGTGTCTTTTTTTTTCTCTCCCCCCCCCTTCTCTTTCTCTGTCTCTGTTTTTCTTTCTTTTTTCTCTATCTCTTTCACTCTCTGTCTCTGTCTCTGTCTCTCTCTCTCACGCCCCCCCCTCCCCGTTGTCACACAGCCCACAAGTTCCTATTTCATTATCTGTCTGTCAGTCTGTGTGTCTGTCTGTGTGTCTGTCTGTCTGTCTGTCTGTCTGTGTGTCTGTCTGTCTGTCTGTCTGTCTGTCTGTCTGTCTGTCTGTCTGTCTGTCTGTCTGTCTTAGGTCCCTCTGTCTTTCTGCCTCCACCTTCAACCTATGCCCTCTCTATTTCTATCACATTTCCTTTCCACTCGCCCCCCCACCCCATTTCC